AATTTTCTGGGTATTTTTTTTTCTTTCTCTCGACGAACTGTACAATAAGGGGAAAAATTAAGTATGTGAACGCAGCGAGCACATTTTCTTTTAGTCAATTTACCACAAAATACACATCTCATGCTCGGATTGCCGATCACATAATTCTATCTCTCTCTCTCTCATTTGAGCGGCTTTAACTACTTAGTTTCGTGGAAACTGTAAAGAAACCACCACGACTGAAACATTTCGTTTTTTCTCTCTCTTGCCACGTTCACAAAAAGGTTAAGCCATCGTTCGTCATACAATTTTGCTGCCTCGATAAATCTCTCGCAAAAATGAAACGAGAGTGGAAGAAAAAAAGAACCATGAAAAAAAGCTGTCCAATTTAAAATCGCTCGACAATATATGCAGCGCGCAAGTTGACGGCCAGCAAAAGCAGAAAATACTTAACAGCATATTTGGCTGAAATGACAACGCCTGCCCGCCTGCCGTACACGCCGAAAGAAAAAAAAATGCCACGCCAACACAACAAGAAAGTAAATAAGAATGTAACGACGTGCATCGGTATTCTTTCTTCTTGTTTTTTTTTTGCTCTCCATCATCCAACTTTTTAACACTCATTAAACTTCCGTTTTCTATTGCCATTGTTTACAATAAATTTTACTTTAATTTCAGTGTATCATTCGCATTTTGGTGAGTATGTACGTTGTGCGCTGTCGACGAGATGAGTCGTGCCACTGGTCTTTCGTTTTATGTAGATATTTGTTCGCTTCATTTTCATTTCTCAATCTATCTTCAAACTAATCTTGATAATCCAAACTATTTTCAGCATCTTTTTTATATTGTTCATTGTTTGTTGGTTCGCTTTGCCTGGCAATCGTTGAATGATGGCAGTCGTGGCGGTTGCCATGAAACACCCACTGCCACTGCCACCGCCACCGCCAAAATGGAACACAACACGGCAAGAAAAACGAAGGTACAAGTAACGGGATGATAGTGAAAAACTCAAGATGCAGCGAGGTGCAAAAAAGGCATTCTGCACATTATTTTCTCGGTAGATTTCTTGATTTCAAGCGGAGCGGCACGGCGAATGAGAGTGAGCGCAAAAACACGCACGCCACCAAACTCGGCGAATCTTTTTGTGTTTTTGCGCTCGTTTTTTTGTTTGCGTCATTCTCTCAACGTTCAAGCATTTCCCACTATTTTGCAACAGTGCACTTGTTCCCTTGATTATCATAAGTAATGAATGAATAATTAAACATAATAATTCTTCATAAAACTCTTGTGCAGAAGTTGAATTAAAGAACGTGAGTGTTTTTTTCTGTTTGTGTATGTGTCGTGTTGGTGGTGCAACGAACGATGTTCGCAAAACTGCTGCCACACGAAACAAGTGAAAAAAAATGGTGAGCATACAGAGAGAGAGAGGGAAAAAGTGAAAGAAAGAAGAATATTAAGATGCACACATTTGAATTTCGGCCCAATGCAAACGGCGATGGAAATTTTTTAAGCCAACTATTTTGTGTATGATATGACTGTTGTTGTCGGGTGTTACAACAAGAAAACAATACGATGCGCGCCGAATAACGTAGTCGAAGTTAAAAGTTGCCGGTTGTCTGTGTGAGAGCCAAATGGGGAAAAATCAAGCGACGGAAAATTCACTTGGAATCAGTTCGGAATTTATACACGTTGTCGATGTACACTATTGTGCATTTGTTTGTTACTTCGTTGTGTGCCGAAGATTTTCACGTCGTGTTTTTCGGTTTTATGCAGAAGCATCAATTTTCGTGCTACTCTCCGCATGAGCACTAGAGCCAGGCCATGTCATTGTCGTTGCTGGAGTACAATGTGTATGCACATTGCACAACCAACAATATCCCTTACATCTTCGAGCTTCGGCGCATTTTAATGCAGTGTCTTTAAATATTTAATGCAGGTTTTTGCACAAGCTACACGCACACAACACAGTTTGCATAGGGAAAACGAGCGACTGAACTCGCACCGAGCAGAGAAAAAAGAGATGCCATGTAACGCAAAGAGAGAGAGAAAAAGTTTCAATCGCATCTTTCGAACCACAACAGAATAAAATTAAGAAAACGTTGGTATTCTGGCAGAAAATTGGTTCATTGGTACGTTTTAGTGTGTTGAGCAGCAGAAAAAAAATGAAATGTGAAGAAAAGAAAAGCAAAGAAAAAAAAAATTGAATGAAAATCAACTCATTGATCATAATCCATAGAAATGACAGATTGATAGATGAGATCGCCTGGTTAACATCAAAAATCGATATCATAACTGGAATGGCGTAGGAATCCGGATCGAAATGGATGAGACAGATGAATAAATCGAGTTGCTGGCCACATGTTTTGATCTGTGTTTGATCAAAGCCAATAAGTTATAAACCGATTCTAATCATTATTAAATTGCCCGCTTATACGTTTGTTCAGTGGGATTTATCATTTAATTATTCACTAAAACCTGGTAATGCTTTTCCGATTGGCCAACAATCGAACCGTTGTCCGTTCATCTTTTTTCATCTCCCATTCGCGCGAGCGCGGATAAGATTGTCGTTCATCAGCGTGCGCGCGATGGGCGAACGAGGCGTAAAACGTACGAAAACCACATCGAAAGAGAGAAAAAACACACACATAGAAATCCGCTTGAAGATAAAACTTTATCCATAATCTTTCAAGAAAATGAACGAGCAAACGAGCGAACGAACGAAAAAAAAAGCCACCAATATCAACAACAGCAACAACAAGCCGGCAAAAACGTGAATGCGATTCGATGGAATTGGCATCGTCTCAATGATATGATAGACATTTAGTGTGATTTTATCTGTGGCGGTTCGCGCGCGCGCACCCAACGACCAAACCGAACAAGTTTCTTCGCTTGCTATTAGGTATAAATGAATGTTTCTGTTTCAAAAGCGATTATGAGTGAAAACATTATATGGATATAAATGAAGATGACATTAATCGGTGCTCGTTACACGAAATGGTCAATTAATCTGATTGAATTGACCCCCGATGATGCCTTTTAGCTGCACACACAACCATACATAGACAACACCGTCAACAATCACATGCCCAATCCCAATATTGGCCAAAGAGAAAAGAATGGTTTTGGCATCATTGGCAGCAAAATGTGCAGAAGAAAAACTTTGTACGAATTTTTTTTCGTTCGTTCGTTCGTTGTTGAATCGCTGCCAATTTATAGCGCAAAAACAAAACGAAAAATAAAGAATACTCGATTGGCAATTCAAACGAGTGGAAAAGCACACATACGAAGACGTTAAGGGAATTATTATTGATTTTTGTTGCTTCGTGTGCTCGCGCGCGCAACTCTCTTCTGTTTGCTAAATTAGAGAGTTAAAATAAAATGTTGATGGAGCGAACGTGTAGCTCGTACCAAACTCATTCTCTCTTCTCTCTCTCTCTCTCTCTCTCTCTCTCTCTCTCTCTCTCTCTCTCT